ACTGAATATTATTTACAACTGTATTACCTGTTACTCGCAACATATGCAGGTTCTGTTCACTAAAGTAGACGCGCGCGCGTCTATCATTAAGTAGAGCGCCCGCACCCTCTCTGTAAGAACAGCTCACGGTCAACAGCTCACGTCATGTGTGATTTCCCGGCTGCCAAAACATCATTATATGAAGACAAAAATGACATTTTTAGGTGAATTATGCCTCACAAATACATTGTGACTCATTCAACATCATTTGGAGGTGTCAGTGTCACTGAGCAACGTGTGTGAAACAATGAAAAGACTCGTGCAGCCGCCTTTTCTTCTCTCCTGAACTTGAAAATTTGATTGACAGAATCGTAGAAATGGTGGATTACGATCGTCTAGGGCGTCGAATTGAGATCTCGATCTTTTAACGATTAATTGTGCAGCTCTAGCTAATAGGTGGCGCTACAGTGCTAAAAACAAACAAATTTGAGTATTTTGGCCCACATTCCTACACAGTTTCTGTTTTCACAGAGTCACTCAGATTTTCTGTACAACGCACTGTTTTTCCGCTACATCCAGCTTTGTCCGAAAACTACTTTTGCAGACTAGTCCTAGTTTTTCATGTTTTTTGTTCCAAAATATTTTAAATCTTTCTTAATTTGAAATATATTGTGTTCAATGGTGGAAAAAGTTGTTGTTTTTGTACTCCGACATTTAAAAAGAGCATATTTGAGAGCAGTAATCACAATTACCGTAAAACCGTGATATTTTTATCCAAGGTTATCATACCGTCACAATCTTACACCGGCCCGTGCCTAATCTGAAGACAACAAACTCCTGCAGTGCCTATTAATGAAAGCACAAATCACAGTGTTTACACAAAGTCAGATGATGCAGAGCTGAGTATGCTGGATCTGACAGTAATATTGCGAGACTGGTGTGAATAACAGTTTTCATTAAGCATTCACTATTGATTCACGTGTACTAAATATTTATGCATTTTGAACCTAAATCAGAGCAAAAAGAAGCACAAAGTCTATTAAACACACATGTAAACACACAGTTGACCATTCAAACTCTGAGGCCGCATCTTAAAAACAAAGCAATGAAAGTGTTTAAATAAGCATTACTGTCAGCTAATCACACCAGTCTGTGTTTACCGCTGAGTCCACAGATGATGGTCAAAACAGTCCATTACTTCGAAGTTAGGCTGTTTTTTTGGATGTGAAGTTCTTGATAACATTGTAAGCGGAGTTTTGAGGACAGCACAAAATATAAAGAGACAGCTCATAACCCTTTAATGAGACAAACATGGATGAAATACGGCAAAAGTGATACTGATTGTACTTCTGCTGAAGAGTTGGAGAGAGATGATTCATCCACAGCTCATCACAGATGACTAATCACTCCAGGACAAATTACAGTAAATATGATGTCATCGTTTATTTAGAATTCAAATTCTAACAACAACTGACACTTATGACATCATTTGGAATGTGGTAGAACTGAAGACTGAAGAAAACACAAGACGTGTCACTCGTATAGTTTTGAATGGGGAAAAGTGCAACAGTCAATATGATGAATGAAGCCACGCCTACTAGTACAGCAGCCAATCATTGATCTCTATAGACTGAGGATTCTCTGGGGAAGGGGCTCAGATCAGACGTGTGTTTTCTGCAGTTGTTATTAACTGGAATCTCAGCGAATTCTTGCTTCACAGGCAGGAGAAGTATATCCACATAAAGCTTGACATCTCTACTTTTGAATGAAGCAACTACACTTCTTGAACCAAATGAACTAAAACAAATCTGTGGTTTTCTGTATGAAACGAACACGAAGTACAGTCCATCCCGTCAAAAGCACATCACATGACAGCAACTACTCGAAAGGTCTACAGACTTGTAAACAAGAGTCGCTGTCATCAGTCAACAAGACCAAGTTTACTTAGAATTACTTCAGAAGACCAGTGCAAACAGATGAGACATAAATGAGGTTAATGTCATGATCTTGTTCGCTTCAAGTGTGCATGCGCATTAGATAGGGCAATCTGAAAATATGTTTAACTTTATTGATGAATCCAAATATTACATTTAATTGTAAGCTTTTCAAACAGAATTTGATGTTTCCCCATTCAAACACAATGCCCGAGAGGTGTTTTAAAAATGGCCGTCGAGTGAAATTACCTGCCTTAAAGGGACACTGGTATAAGATGGAAGCCAAACATGGTCAAAACTTGTAAAATTTGATTGGACCACAAACACATAGCTTAACTGTAGTAAGACTGCTAATTTGTGTGTGATCATACTGCGACAAGTTTTGTGGAAAGCAATATACGACGTGCCAGTATACCACTTGATATAGTCCTCACTGCTACTCAGATCCAAAGACTCGTTCAAAATCGGCCCATAGGTGGCGCTACAGTGCTAAAAACAAACAAATTTGAGTATTTTGGCCCAAATTCGTACAGTTTCTTAGAGACTCAAAAACTTTACATATTTGGAATCCTCGGGTCAGCCTGAACAAAAGTGGAGTCACTCAGATTTTCTCTACGACGCACTGTTTTTACGCTACATCAAGCATTGTTTGGAACTGTGGTCATCAAACTTGTTCCTGGAGGGCCGGTGTCCTGCAGATTTTTGCTCCAACCCTAATCAAACACACCTGAACAAGCTAATCAAGGTCTTACTAGGTATACTTGAATCATCCAGGCAGGTGTGTTGAGGCAAGTTGGAGCTAAACCCTGCAGGGACACCGGCCCTCCAGGACAGAGATTGGTGACCCCTGGTTTGGAACCTACTTTTGCAGACTAGTCCTAGTTTTATATGTTTTTTGTTCCAAAATATTTAAAATCTTTCTTAATACTACCATCTGACAAATTTTAAAGCCTCTAGGTCAATGGTGTCCAAACTCAGTCCTGGAGGGCTGGTGTCCTGGAGAGTTTAGCTCCAACCCTAATCAAACACCTGAAGCAGCTAATCAAGCTCTGACTAGATATACTAGTGCAGTGGTTCTCAAACTTTTTTCATCAAGTACCACCTCAGAAAAAAATTGTCTCTCCAAGTACCACCAAAATGAGCAGTATTGAAATACAGTAGCGTAGTAGGCCCAGTAAAGCAGCTACAACTCTGCACAGTTAAAAAAACATGGCTGATTACCTCAGAAATATAGGCTATGTCATATATGGGATATAATATACCCAATTTTTGATAAATTTTGAAATATATGTAGCATGTACATGACATATTTCATTCCTCTGCGTACCACTAGAAGGAAGCCTGCGTACCACTAGTGGTACACGTACCACAGTTTGAGAACCACTGTACTAGAATCTTCCTGGCAGGTGTGTTGAAGCAAGTTGGATCTAAACTATGCAGGACACCGGCCTTCTAGGACCGAGTTTGGACACCCTTGCTCTAGGTCGTACGGTTTGGCCTGGGCAATAGCAATTTTAGCAGAAGTACAATAATAATAAATCCTATCAAAAACAATCAGGTTTCAGCATGTCTCGCTCAAACCCCTAAAAAAACAACAACAACAACTGTACATATACCATAGGAACGGTATAACAGAAAATTCTGGCGGTTTTAAAACCTTGACTTTTCCAATCCGCGGTAAACCTTGAAACCGGTTATCATCCCATGCCTACTTCAGATCATCACATGGTTTCTGCATGGACTTGTGTTTGTCTTTCTCGTTGTTATTTTTTTTAAAATCTTCTGCTGTGTAATCAGTGGGCGAAGCTAAACAGACAATTATGTAGATGTGCGGGCAGGGCTTAGCCAATTATACATAATAAAGTCTTATTACAAAATTTGTGCATCTAAAACTTCACATTTGTAATCCTTTTAGGCACTGACATTATCTTCAGCAGGTCAAAACTCTAATGGCAGACGGCTGCTTCTCACTCAGGGCTGTTTATGCTAATAAGGAGGAGATGATCACTAGCGGGCGGGGCTTTCCCTCTCTGATGACACCACAGGGTTCAACGCTAAGGATTTTTCCTACTGCCATTTTGCCCTGCCAAAATGTTCACTAGCCCCACCAAAAAATAAGGTTAATAGCTATTTCTTAGCCAGGTTTTAAATAATGTGTGAAAATAATGTCTGTGAATCTAGATTTTAAATATGGAAAAAATGTTAATAAATGTATAATGAGCTAAATTCGAAGTGTTATGTAAACAAAAGTGACAATTTGTATTTTACTGCAAAACAAAAGCTGGCTGACTTGCCAAACTGACGGCAAACTGCAAAACATCACTTCATTTTTTCGTCGTGTTGTACCCACATAAATGTTTGCAACCAAGATGTTAGAAACAGATGTTTTTTTTAGCCTTATAATTTGATGTTGCCGTCACGTTGCCATCTCTAAAAATAACGTGCTCACAACATCCAATCAGATAAGAGGGGCCGAAAAGCAACATGGTGTTTCATAGAGAAGGAGCGTTTAAAGGCTTAAAAGCACAAACGGTTTCTCGATTCTAAGACTTTATTTGCACGCAATTGACAAATAGTTGCAGGCAAATGAAACTTTGTTTACAAGGCAGCAATGGCCCAATCGGGCCAGTAACAATCCTGTCTACTGTCCAGAGCGTCTCTTACGCTGGCCCCGGGCCATCGGGCAGTCCTTGTTGTTGAGCCCTGCACCAACAAAGGCAGAATGTCAGTCAAAGTGTTTCTGTTTTTATCAAGTCTGATTATTACAAATACAATTAATTGATGTTTACCATTAGAGGCTGGGTATATTCACACACTGCTGACACACAACCGTGTTTAAACCCCTTATAAAAGTGACTTTGGCATAATAGGTACCCTTTAAATCTCAAATCACTTCATAAATATTCCATTCAAGTATAAACTCTTTAGTTGCCCTAAAATGGAGATGAGACGCTGACCTGTGTGTGTAATGCTCCTCATAAAGAGTGTTAACGGTGTCAGCTATGTCAAGCCTTGAGATATATAAAGGTGCTATATAAATAAATCTTCTTCATCTTCTTAACAAGTGCGTTTGTGTTTGTTGTTCAGGTGCGTGGCGCTCCTGCCATCGCCATCGTGGGCTGTCTGAGTCTGGCGGTGGAGCTGCGGGCAGGCGCCGGCGCTGAAGACCTGGTCTCCTTCGTCAGGGACTCTCTGTGCCACCTGACCTCCGCACGACCCACCGCCGTCAATATGGGCAGAGCCGCGCGAGAACTTATGGAGTTTACTGAGAACGAGAGCATGGAGAAGAACACAGAGCAGCTCAGAGACAGGTGACACACACAAACACACACACACACACACACACACACACACACACACACACACACACACATACATACATACATACACACTGATTACTGAGACATTAAAACAGATGGAAAGTGTTATTTTACTTGTGTCTGTGAAAAATCTATTCAATATTTACTTTTTCAGTGCACTTTTTTTTTCTCCCTGTGGTGTTTTTGACTTGGATGTATTTTAATGAGGAGCTGACCATATAAATTGTCAAAAACTGCATTTTTTTTCAGAATGTTATGAAGAGATGGTGATCTTAGCTTAAATCAACCAAATGTAAAAATAGAATTATTGTTAATAATAGTAATGCTTTTTAAAATATATATTTCAAGTTCACATAAGTAAATATATTAATTGTTATTATAGTTAATAATATTATTATTATTAAATATTGTAAATTATTTAAATGCCATTTTAGTGCATTAAATAGTTAAGCAGACTTTAGACAATAAGGAGAAAAGAAAACAAAGCTGTCTGAAAAGGAAAATGCAAATATTCACAGAGCATCAAAAGTCATATTAAATTGTTCACTTGCAATAATTTGTGTTTTTGCAATAAAAAATATTTGTAATTATTTAAATATTTGTAATTTTTTAAAGCGTTTTAAATAATTTACATGTTGTTCTACTTCAGTATCAATATCAGTTTAAAGCAGTGGGGATCACGATTGATTTAAAAGTTAGCACTACTTTTAAGAAAGCACAACTAATATGCCCAAAATCAAATTAATAATTAAAATGCAACACAAAAATAAATATGAAATCAAAATTATTTCCTTAATATATTAAAACAGAAAGTAGATTTTTTTTAAATGACATTTTTCACAATAGAAATGATATTAATACATTTATTTTTGCCTCAACATTAAAAATGCTGTCCTGAAGAACATGTAATTGTTAAAGACCTTTGATACTTGTTATTTTATGTTTGTAAATTTGTATAAAATTTATTTTAAGGGACTAATTGTGTTATTGCAATTATTTTCTATAAAACAAATAATTAACAAAAAAAAAAAAAATGAACAATTCTCTTTTGGCTCCGCCCCTGCTGCAGCGTGATTGGCTGGATCGAGGAAATGTTAGAGCGAGATGTGAACGACAACAAGAAAATCGGCAACTACGGCGCGCAGCACATCCTGTCTGGTGTCCCGCGAGACTCGGTCACCATCCTCACACACTGCAACACCGGCAGCCTCGCCACCGCCGGATACGGCACAGCGCTCGGTCAGTCGCATGCTTATTTCCTTCTTTAAAAAAAGCCAAACCCTAAAACTGCAGACTTGCACTTCAATGTGTGACAGCTTTCTTTTTGTAAGGGGAAATCTATGAATATGCTGTATGTGTATTTGTTTTTGACTCATCTAAAGTATAAAAATGCCATGATATGTTTGTAGATATTTAAGAAACATCCCAAGTTAACGTTCTTGTTTATCTGATAAGCAATGCTGATGTCAGTTTTTCGGTTTTGAGAATTCCATGTCAGAATGTCTGTCTTTGTTTTGGTCTCTACAACCAGCCCACTGCCAGTTTAGCCAATTATATTTCAGCACCTCAGGTTGCCTTGTTGATAAACACAGCGTATTTCATTCCAGTATTGAAGACTGCTTCAATATATGCAGACGCAGCCGAAAATGCGAATTCTGGAGGACAGTTTTTTTTACATTTATTATGTATATGTGATACACACACAAAAATAGAGACATAACAATTGTGTTACATAGATATTTAGATTTATATATAGTTTGTATCATGTACACATAATTTATATTTAAATATAAAAAAAATTATATATGCATGCATGCGTGTGTATGTAAGCATAATTAATATACACAGTACACAAACTAAAATTGTCAAAACAAACGTTGTATATTAACAATTGTACACATTTTTTGTTGGTAACTATAAAATACTATTTTATTGTAATAAAGTTGTAATAAATAATGTAAATAAAAACATTACTTCTGCTGCCAACTTTATTAAAATCGAAATAAATCGAAACTAAAACTAAAATAAAATTCATATAATATGAATACATTTTTTAGATATTTTTCCAGAAAATAATAAATTAACAATATTACTAGGATAAATACAAATAAAAAAAACCTTTCGAAATTAATAAAATAGTTTATTTTGGATGCAATTAATCACGATTAATTAATAATACAAGAATTACATAGAAACATAACCACACAACATAAAACGTAAACATCAGCTGAGCATCTTGCAAAGTAAAGCTCGTGATCTGTTGGTGTCGTCAATCTGGCAACCTGCGTGTACGTCAATTCATCGTCCGATGGGGGAGGGGCTAAACAGTGGCTGCATCCGAAAAAGCCTACTACTCAGTAGGTACTGCATTTAAATTTAAACATACTACTCGGCCGTTAAAAAAGTACGTTCTATACAGTATGAATGTGAAAAGTATGAATGGAATTCGGACGTACTACATCCGCCATTTTGTCATGGTCACATGATCTACCTGCGTCAGTTGCGTTGCTTCACTTCCATTCATGAAGTCCTTCGCGGGGCATTATGGGATAGCTCAGCGTGCATGGGATGCGCTCTCCAGAATCTCTCCGGAAGTAGTAAGTCATCCGGGTACTTCTCGCCTGCTGATTTTAGCGTACTATATAGTATGGTAGTATGCGATTTCGGACGCAGTGAGTGTTTTTAATTTGGACTGCAATACCTAGTTCCACCACAGCGTTTCAATGTGCTTTCATGTAGACAAAATGTGTTTATAATCTCTAAAAATAGTTTTGATGCTAATCTCCCTACAGGAGTGGTGCGGTCGCTGCACATGCTGGGCCGGTTGAAGCGTTTGTACTGCACAGAGACAAGGCCCTACAACCAGGGGGCCCGACTGACGGCGTACGAGGCCGTGGCTGAGGGCTTTCCAGCAACACTCATCACAGACAGCATGGCGGCGCTAGCTATGAGGGAGAAGAGCATCACAGGTGACAGACGCTCAAGTCATGTTTAAATTACATTTAAATATATGCGACATAAAGCCACGCCCACTAGAGGAAAAAACAATACAACCGTCTCTATTAACTTCTTCTATTGCAGGAAGCTGCTTTTGTTGTCATTTCTGATTTATAAAAAACACAACAATTACAAAAACACTACAATTTCATTAGATTACCAAAACAAACTTAAATTTTACTTCACTTGCACGGAGTAATTAAACACCTTGAAAATAACACTGTGAGCTAAAAAAATAGACATAGCAAATTTCGATTTTTAAGCAGACTTTAAACACAAACAAACAATCATATAGAAGCTTTTAGATAGTGTTGTGTTTATTGTTAGTAGTCAAAAATGACAAGTACATCCCCTTAATAGAAAGTCAATGAAGAGTGAGGGATTGTTTCCCCCTTGTAGGCGTGGTTTAAGTTTGCTCCGTTTTTATACCATAAAGATATCTGTCAGATGCTAATGCTAATGTGCTAACGCTCACAGCTGTCGTCGTTGGAGCGGACAGAGTCGTTGCAAACGGCGACACGGCGAATAAAGTGGGCACGTATCAGCTGGCCATTGCTGCTAAGCATCATGGGATACCGTTTTACGTGGCAGCGCCAAGCACGTCCTGTGATTTGAGTCTGGAGAGCGGACGAGACATCGTGATCGAGGAGCGTCCCGCGGAGGAGCTGACTAGTATCAACGGAGTCCCTGTAGCTGCACCGGGTGAGTGTGTGTTACGCAAAATAAAGCAACAAAACTTAATTAATGATGAAAAATTTTTAAAATTTTTGGTAACTAAAATATTCTTTCATTGTAATGAAGTTGTAATAAATAATGTATATAAAAACCGCCCACAATTATTTCTACAACTAACTTTATTCAGATCTAATTCAGTAATTAAATTCAATAATTAAATGTACCAATGATAAAGAAAATCGAAATATAATATGAATAATATAATATAATATGAATTAAAACAAAAACTTTTAAAGATTTTAAAAAATATATATATAAATAAATAAATAAATATATATATATATATATATATATATATATATATATATATATATATAGTTTTTTTATTTATATATATTTATAATAAATTAACAAAATCAACAGGATAAATTCACATAAAAACTTTTCAAAAGTTAATAAAATATACATATAATCATAATAATATATAATAATATAATGCATAAGCATGTGTATATATGAAAAATACTAAATACACACAGATGGAAAGTTTTTTCCAGTTAATATATTATGATTAATGAATATTTATTTGAGGTTGTATGTATTGCAGTAGTTAATTGTTTAATTTTTATCTTTAAACAGAATTTTTGACTTTTTTTGTGCTCAAAGCTAATTTTCTGAGATATAAAGGGGTTTAAAAGCCATAAATATTATATATTGTGTGTATGTGTGTGTGTGTTCCTGGTATTCATCACATGGGGACCAAATATCTCAAAATATAGCAATAAATATACAGTATATATCAGTAAAATCTGACCTGGTGGGGATATTTTATTTGATCCCCATGAGGAAAATGGCTCATGAATCATCTAGAATGAAGTATTTTGCGAATGTAAAATGCTGATTATTTCCTATGAGGCTTGGTTTAGGGGTTGATGGAGAGAATATATACCGTCTTTACAGCAGAAACATCATTACAGCTATGGGACAAGCCCATAAAGATAGCTGTATAAATGTGTGTGTGTGTGTGTGTGTGTGTGTGTGTGTGTGTGTGTGTGTGTGTGTGTGTGTGTGTGCGTGCGTGCGTGCGTGCGTGCGTGCGTGCGTGCGTGCGTGCGTGCGTGCGTGCGTGCGTGCGTGCGTGCGTGCGTGCGTGTGTGCGTGCGCGTGTGCGTGCGTGCGTGCGCGTGTGTGTGCGTGTGTGTGTGTGTGTGTGTGTGTGTGTGTGTGTGTGTAAGCGCAGGGTTTAAGTGAGATTTGAAACAGAGCGGAGCTGCTTTTAATTAAACGGTTGTGATATGAGCGGGAGTGAGGGATGATCCTGTACGTGTGAAAACAGAAGACAGTCGAGTCAGAAGAGTCCGATTAATTAAAGCGGCAGCGTTTAATATCTGCCGGCGTCTCAGGGGAGAAAGAGAGACAGATTACTGGCCAGCTTTCATCAGCTCTGTCTGACACACACACACACACATACACATACACACAGAGATCAAGACCAGTTCAACCAGTTTATCACAGTCAGTTCCATCATTATCTGACAGAGTTTCAGTGTTTATTTGAGCTCAACTTCTGTGTCTTTAGTATTGTGCTACTAGAGATCAGAGGTCAGACCTCTAAATACAGTCTAGTCTAGTGTACTGGAATCAATAAACACAAGTCATGAAGGAAAACAAAATTTGAAAGTAAAAATAAAACAATATAAATTATGCCTTTATAAAAACACGAACCTATATAGGGATCATTTATAGGGAGTTTTAGGCTCCTCCCATAGCCTTATAGGCTCCTATATAGGCTATAGGTTATAGGCTCCTCCCATGCTTGATTCGGATTGGGTGATGAGCATTCTATAGGCCCGTGCACACAGAGTCATTTTTTGCTCGCGTTTTCCGTCGACGTTTAACGCCTTGTTACTAAATAAAGGCGTCAATGTGATTGTGCAAACCAACACGCAAAACGGCAGGCGCAAAAGCGTCAATTTAAAAAAAACACCTCATGCTTGTTTTTTTGTTTTGATGCGACGCGTCAAAAGTTACAGTAAACAGCACTTGGAGGCGCTCAAGTCCAAAACTTTCAATGCAAGCGCACATTGAAGAAGATGCCCAGAGGCGATATGAATGTGGGCTGCGTCCGAAACCGCATACTTTCTTACTATATAGTACGCTAAAATCAGTATGCGAGCCGAGTAGTATGTCCGAATTCATAGAATTCGAAAATCAGTATGCGAGAAGTACCCGGATTACTTACTACTTCCGGCAAGATTCTGAAGTGTGCATCCCATGCACGCTACGCTATCCCATAATGCTCCGTGAGAGAATTCTTGAATGGAAGTGAGGCGACGCAACTGACGCAGGTATGTCACGTGACCATGACAAAATGGCGGATGTAGTACGTCCGAATTCCATTCATACTTTTCACATTCATACTGTATAGAATGTACTTTTCTAACGGCCGAGTATTAAATTCAAATGCAGTACCTACTGAGTAGTAGGCGGTTTCGGACGCAGCCGTGGAGCTTCCTCTCCTCTTCTTCTTCTGTGTTATAAGCGGGTGTCAGAAGCTTAAAGTTGTGCAGCGCCATCTAACGCCAAAAGAGTGGCTTTGCATACTCTTCTGCTTGACGCCAGTGAAAATTGCTTGGGTTTAAATACTGAAAAACTTCTCGTAAAACGCTGATGACAAACGCAAACGAAAAGCGTCCCGGTGTGTAGGAGCCTTAAGGTGTGCAGTTATTTCCAGATAAACGCTCAGCTGAAGTAGTAAAGCGTGTCCACAGCTTTCCCCATTAAATTATTATTTTTATTGCAGTAAATAGTGTGTCCACAAGGTGGCAGCTGTGTCTCGGGGGTGTCGATTCATAATGTAGTTGACTGTTCTAGCAGACTGTTGTTGCTAGAAGGGACACAGCTGCGGCCGGAAGTTAACAAGAATTGTTAATATTTATTTATTTTTATTTTATATATTTTTATTTATTTATTTATTTATTTATTTATCTATTTATTTATTTATCTATTTATTTATTTATTTTTAACTACCCATGTTCTGCAGGTTGCAATGTCCTGAATTCAAGCCTAAGCCAATTGTAATAGATTGTTTTTGGTTTAATTTGGAATTTCCCCAACCAGCACAGAGCCTGGGGCGACCAGAGTGAGTGCTTCGACTTGGGCCCCCCCCTGTTCCGTTAACGAAAATTATTTACTTTGTTTATTAAATTACCCATTAATTTACTGCATTAACATCTACGCAACCCTCACAGTAATTTATATATATATATATATATATATATATATATATATATATATATATATATATATATATATATATATATATATTTATATATATATATATATCGGCCAGCCCTAGTGGCAAATATCTGTGTATTAAGCAGAATATTACACACTTGCCATTGACACACTCTCCTTGTTCTCTGATGATAAACTCTCTTTTCTGGTTCTCCATGTTTGTGCGTCAGGGATTGACGTGTGGAACCCGGCGTTCGACGTCACTCCTCATCAGCTGATCACAGGCGGCATCATCACGGAGCTCGGGGTGTTTCTGCCGTCTGAACTGCAGGCTGCTCTGACCGGGAGACTCACGGCTCTGTGAGGCCCACAGCGCCCCCGCAGGCCCGGAGGAGCCACTGCAGCCGCTCCACCACTCGCCTCCGTCTCGATTTCACCTCACCGCGGTGGAAGTTGCACCTTTAATTACACACACAAGCGTCGCACGAGGTGTTTAACAAGGTATACGCACGTTCCATTCGGTTCAACACTTACAAAGTCGAGTGTAAAAACACCAAGTGACACACAACCCAGGGATGCTTGTAAACACACACACACACACAAACACACACTCTTTCTCCTTCTCTCTGTGTGTACAGCTCATGTCACATCATCTCATGTCTTTCGTCTTCATCGTTGTGAAAACTTCACGCCATCTGTTGCTTTTGTTTTCCACTCGTTTCTTCCCCTCTTTCTGGCTCAGCTCCAGCTTTTATTGACAGGAAGTGTATCACGGAGATGATGAAGCGCGGAGCCGTCGAGAACATTCAGAGGATTTCAAAATAAAAGTTGATTATTACGGGTGAACTGATGTGCTTTAAGGGGAAATCTCACTAAGACAAACCCGTTGAGAAGATATCGGGTCAAATCTCACCCCAAAATCAAATAAAAATAAAAACTAAGCTCATTTTAGGACTTTTTTTGGCAAAACGTGACTTGATATTCTCATTACTGTGATACAAAAGCATTTAAGCTAAGCACTTGTACTAGGGATGTGCAAACTCAGTGTCCTGCATAGTTAAGCTCCAACTTCCTTTAACACACCTCCCTGGAAGTTTCTAGTATACGCTTATTTCACACGGCCGCCATTTTAAAGTTCGTATCTAATTGCTAACATTTAGGCTTTGCTATTACAACAATAAATTTGGATAATATAAAAACAATAAATTAGAAATGAGACATTTTAAATTATTGTAAAAAAATACTGTTTTTAATCAAATAAATGCAGCCTTAAACCGTACGTAATTGTTCTACATTATTCTACTGTGTTACTTTAATGATATTTTGCATTGCAGTAGTGAGAGTTTTCAAACATCATATATAGTGGCTTATGTGTTTTTATTTGATTTTGAGGTGACATTTAAATGAGACTTTCCCTGACAGGTATGATAGTTTCTTAGTTACAATGATAATAGATATGTGAAATCTAAGCCCATTTGAAATGAGGGCTGCGTTTTAATGTATATATTGTACGATTTATGAATCTGAGCGCCAGTCCTTTTACAGGCAGTGCCAACTGAATAAACTATCAAATGTTACAGAATTAAAATGTTATATTAACATTTAGAGAGAATTGAAACCTGCAACCGAGCAAAAAAAATGACAGAGTATTAGCAGACAGTTTATGTTTTTAAGTTTCTCAAGTAAATACAGTGTTGGTCAATCATTTCGACCAGGTCGATCAATTTTAAATGTTAAAGTGTTTTAAACTTCAAGGTTTATCTCGAGCTCTGCTGACAGAAACTGAAAAATTAATTCGAAATTATTTTGCTGGAGACAAAATGTTGAATGCTTCATTCTGATTGGCTGCTGAGCATTCAAAGGTGCATTCTTAAGCATTCCAAGACTGTTAAATGCTTAATTCTGATTGGCTGCTGAGCATTAGAAGGTGTGTTCTAAAGCATTCCAAAACTGTTAAATGCTTAATTCTGATTGGCTGCCGAGCATTCGAAGGTGCATTCTAATGTTGTGTTCACACCAGAAGCGGTACGTGCAGATAAATCGCGCTATTCGTTCGTAAATATACGCGTGAACATTTTGAGTTCTCTTGCTTCATTTGCTCGTCAAATCCGCTTCATTTGCTCATCAAATTCACTTCACAACAGATGCAGATTCGCGTGATGGGCAGGGCTTCTGTCTGACCGGTAACTAGCTTTGTTGCTAAATGGCTAACATGGATTTTATTGAGAGAATAGTTGTGTTTATGTGCTTTATGAAGGCTGAAAAACAGTGTTGATTCGTTCGGAGTCCGCTAGACGATTGGATTTGGAGTCCACTAGATTCTTTCAGAGATGCACTCAGCTCTGTGAGCTCCTAAACTCCTCCAGAAACTATACCTGGATGATGGAAGCTTTTAGCGGTGCTTCCGACTGAGCCGAGCCCAGTTTGATCAACTGTTGTCAGTGTCGTTAGGAGTATTTTCCCCTGGGACACCAACAGCAGGCGCTACAACATAAACACGCCACCACATAAGGAAGCTTCTGATTGGTTGCAAATTGGTGCGAATGTCCGCTGTAGTTCAGAAGCGCCATGCGCATCAATCGCACAAAATTCTCAACTTGCACCGAGTCTTTTGCGCAAATTTCGTCATTTGCACCACCTCATTCACACGTATCACGCCGCATGATGTCTATTTGCGCCTTTGCATTGACTTAACATGTAAATCACTCGCGCTTGATGCTTCTTCCGCATCTGGTGTGAACGCAGCATGAAGCATTCTGAGACTGATAAATGCTTAATTCTAATTTGCTGCTGTGCAATCGAAGGTGTGCCGTTATTTTCAGATAAGCACACAGCTAAAGTAGTTCCAGCAGGTTTTGAGCGGTTCCATATCACTACGCTAAATGATTTCAGTTGTTTCACAGCTACAACACTCAAAAATCATATCAAAACACAACAAAGAGCTGTTGGAAGAAACTAGTCCTACACACAGGAGTGGTTTAAGGATTAAAAACCTGACAAATGTCTGAAATGCAACATCTGAACAGTTTATATAGGTGCGTGAACTAGAGTATAAGCAAAATAATTGAGTCCAGTCCGTTGAATTATTAGAAAATAATTCACGCCATGACCGCATCACCATCTTACGAGTGCATTATTTTTTGATATTTCAATGGAGTAAGAAACTAGTCCTTACTCAAAAAGCAATTTGATGAAAAAAACCTGACAAATTACTTTAAATTTAACATCTTACAGCGTTTCTAGTCATAGTATAAGAAAAATAATTGACTCCGGTCAGTTGAATTATTAGAAAATAATGCGCACCCATGATGTAAAGTCACGACCGCATCACCACCTCGGATGTGCATCATTTTTTTAAACGTTATTTCAACTGAATAAGAAACTAACATGAGGTTTTCTAAATATAAGTGCAATTTGATGAGGAAAAACCTGACAATAGTCTTGAAATGTAACACCTGAACAGCATTTCTAGTTGTGGTAATCGTAGTATAAGCCGAATAATTTCCTCCGCTGTTTAATTGAAAATAACGGAGACCCAAATGTAACGGCCATCTCAGCGGCCTGTTTTTCCGTAAGTAGTCAACGTAATGTCGCAGATGCTCGAGTTTTCTTTTAAATCTGTCTTTCGGTAGATGTTTTTTGATCAAGGTGAATGGAAATGGTGCTATGGAGCTAGATGTTAGACAATACCTCAGAAGAGATCCCAAACTCCTCTAGTACTTCCACTTCCACGCTGTTTTCCATCGTAGTTTCTGTGTCGTATTAATTCACACACGATCGCAATTTGAGCCTGGGTGTGCGTTCAGCCAGTGTATGTCTGGGCTTGTGCTCCGTGTTACCGAATGTAATGAGGAGGCCTGAAATCCTCACTGCCTTACGAGACCAGCAAAAACACCCCGCCCACTGATGTCCGATTGGCTGAATGAAACGGAGCCACGCCCACTTGTCAGAAAGCAGCGCGCCACCAACGGCTCTCAGCATCCCGAACATATTAATAACAAATCAATCACAATCATTTTCACTCAATGATCATCACTATTAAAGGGGTAGTTCACTCAGAAGTATTAAATCAATTATTTACTCACCCATGTTTCAAATCTTTATGATCTTTTGTTGAACACAAAAGAAGATATTTTGAAGAAAGATGTAAACCATTGACTGTTTTTCCTACTACGGAAGTCAATGGATGTTTCAGCTTTATTCAGAATATCTTCTTGGGTGTTCAACAGGACAAAGAAACTCGTACATGTTTATAACCAATTGAAAGAGAGTAAATAATGCATATATTTTAATCTCTGACAGAACTCTGCCTTTAATTAATGAATAAAAAAACACACATGGAAATGAATGCACATTTATTTTTACAATTTCATCTGTTTTGATTAAATAAAATAATGTAGCATCAAACACCTAGAGCAGCTGTAAATGTATACGATTGTTTCTTATGTTAAAACACAGCATCATATACAGCTCAGATTTGTTTTGCCAAATTTCTTATTATTTGTATTATTTTAAGGACCAGAACTATGAATAGGGAATATGGAAAGAGTCATTATTAAGGCAAATGTAGCATCATTCGAGGTCATTCATGCGTGTGGGTTTGTAATATTCTGAAGATACAACGTTAGTTTTTTCACTTCTTCATGTTGATTATTTGTTTTATGTATATCTATACACTGTATATCCATGAATTGTGATTCTTGGTGATGAAACTGTTGTTTAAAAGCTTTCATTGAGAGGCCCTCTATAGACGCGACACGCCACTCGACAGCCAAAACCAATGCTAGATCAGATCTGCAAATTAGCCAAAGTATTTAGAGACCAATGCTGCGTCCCAATTAGCATACTGTCCATCCTAAATAGTATTCGAAAATAGAATACGTATGTCCCAAACTAGAGTATGTCGAAAATATGCCAAAGGTATTCCAAGTGGTCTACTATTTCCAATAGAAATTCGAAATGTAGAACCAACAAAGCCAAGCTGGAAATCTTTAACTGAAAAGGTATAATGGCTAATGCTAACGCCAGTATGTGAGAAAGGAGACCAGAGGCCATTTTGTTTTAATGGAAGTCAATGTAGGAGAGGCGTCACTACACAGAATAAACAGCTTTTGTTAGTAAACTATTTGTCATTTAATCAATCGGAAGCCTGTTCGCTAATCTTCTACATTTTTTTAACTAAACAACATGTTCATGGTGAATCAAATGTATATTTTACTGTTGTAAAAATGTTATTTTTTAAGAAAAGGCAGGGTAGGGAAAACAGCGTTAGCTATATCTATAAACAGTGAATGCTGACCAATGGGCCGTAATAAGTGGGGGAAAAGGGTGACAGAGTGCATAGGGCCCTGTCAATATAGGGGCCCCACGACAGGTAACGGGGAGGCCATGAGATACATTTAACGTCACTATCATACCCCCACACAGCCCTCCAACACACTACCCCCCCTCCCTTTTCACTAACGTCACTGTCATATCCCCAGTTCTTCACTTTAGAGATTGCTAATGTCACTGTCATACCCCGTTTTTCATTTAGGAGATCGCTAACCTAACTATCATACCACCTGTTCTTCATTTAGGAGATCGCTAACCTAACTATCATACCTCCCCGTTCTTCACTTTGAAGATCGCTAACCTAACTATCATACCACCCGTTCTTCATTTAGGAGATCGCTAACCTAACTATCATACCTCCCCGTTCTTCACTTTGGAGATCGCTAAAGTAACTATCATACCTCCCCGTTCTTCACTTTGAAGATCGCTAACCTAACTATCATACCACCCGTTCTTCATTTAGGAGATCGCTAACCTAACTATCATACCTCCCCGTTCTTCACTTTGGAGATCGCTAACATAACTATCATACCTCCCGTTCTTTACTTTGGAGATCGCTAACGTAACTGTTATACCTCCCGTTCTTTACTTTGGAGATCGCTAACGTAACTGTTATACCTCCCGTTCTTTACTTTGGAGATCGCTAACGTAACTGTTATACCTCCCGTTCTTTACTTTGGAGATCGCTAACGTAACTATCATACCTCCCGTTCTTTACTTTGGAGATCGCTAACGTAACTATCATACCTCCCGTTCTTTACTTTGGAGATCACTAACGTCACTGTCATACCCCCCGTTCTTCATTTAAGAGATCGCTAACGTAACTATTATACCTCCCATTCTTTACTTTGGAGATCGCTAACGTAACTATCATGACTCCCATTCTTTACTTTGGAGATCACTAACGTTACTATCATACCTCCTGTTCTTTACTTTGGAGATCGCTAACGTAACTATTATACCTCCCATTCTTTACTTTGGAGATCGCTAACGTAACTATCATACCTCCCATTCTTTACTTTGGAGATCGCTAACGTAACTATCATACCTCTTGTTCTTTACTTTGGAGATTGCTAACGTCACTGTCATACCCCCCGTTCTTTATTTTAGAGATCGCTAACGTAACTATCATAACTCCCCGTTCTTCACTAATGTCACTATCAAACCCCCCATTCTTCACTTTAGAGATTGCCAACGTAACATTTCTTTATGTAAGACTCGTAAATGGCAGATTAACCTGCTTCTGCTGAATCTCCTTTACTGTAGGTAATTAGATGTGGAAGAAATGTGGATGATGTGTGGAGATGATTGACAGGGGACGTAACTAAGCTCTTCACAAAAAAGTACTTTGTTTTAGGACGTAGTAGCCTATAAGAATGCGAATTGGGATGCAGCACAAATTTGAAGTCTCTTGCTTTAAATCAAGCTCAGACATTTATTCTAACTCAAAAGCATAATGCGCATCAGAGAGAGCCAGTAGATAGTAACGTTTTCGTCATCTCCACCTAACAATCTGAACACAGGACGGCTAGTTGCATGCGTAGCTTCAAGCTAATAAAAGAGCTCATGAGTTTTCCACGTGAGCTGAGAGGGTTTTCTCCTGAACTCTGGTGCCAAAAAAAAAAAACACAACGCGACTCTCTCTGTGTGTGTGTGTGTCAGTTTGGTGGTCAAAGTCCGTCTCAGAGGACCTCTACGTGTTTCTGTTCGTTCTCGTGCTTATTTGATAAATCACAGCTGGGTTTGATTTTTGTATTCTGTGGAAGTAGTTGGAGAAAAACAAAAACTATTAGACTGGATGTTTTTTATACATATGAATATAATATACAGCATACATAAATTAAGAGATGTCTGTTTCACATCAGTACAATAAACAGAGAGAACCAATACTGCTGTGTCTGTGTGATTGTTATCATTATCGTTCAGTAATGGATCTAATATTAGGGATGTTTTAAAATGTTTTTTTTACATGTCAAATGTTCAGTCCTAAAAGATTATATCAAAAAAAAATCTGCTTTCCAATGTTTGGTAGATACTTTTTTTTTTAGATCACCGCAGCGATGGAATCCTGCAGCCTAAGAGCGGTTACTCACTGAAGTTAAGCAGGGCTGAGCCTTGTCAGTGCCTGGATGGGAGATGGAGACCACATGGGAAAATTAGGTTGCTGTAGGTAGTGGTGTTAGTGAGGCCAGCAGGGGGCGCTCAAACTGATTGTAAAGCGCTTTGGGTGGATGGCCATACACAATAATTGTGCTATATAAATACATACTGTCAGGGAAGCTACTTATGTTGTATTGCGTTTTTTTTTTTTTTTAAATCTTTATATATATATATATATATTTATATTTATATTTATATATATATATATATATATATATATATATATATATATATATATATATATATATATATATATATATATATATATAATTTTTTTTTCTTTTTTTTTGCAGACAGACAAACCCATCATGAAACAATAATCTGTGCAAAATGTAAAATAAAGCATGAAACAAGAGAAAATGGCGACATACAACACATTTATATATATATATATATATATATATATATATATATATATATATATATATATATATATATATATATATATATATATATATAAAACAAGACCAGAAAAGATGTGCTAAGGTACCCTCAGCAGCTTTACACTTGTCACATGTGGGGGAAACCGAGGGATCGAATTTATTAAGCTTTGTTTTAGAATAGTGAAGTCTGTGCAATACTTTGTACTGAATAAGATGGTGTCTTAGATTTATAGAACATGAATAAACAGATGAAAGACAATATTTTTTTTTATCAAGTGTCAGTATATCTCGTTTATTGTTTTGACACTTAAAACATCTTCTCTTGCCCATTTATGGTCAATGACAAAACTAAAACCTGAGAAGTCCTTAGAAATATGTCACTAAAGGATTTCTGTTATAAAAATATGAGAGATAATATTGGAATTAAATAATAAGCAATGCTAACAAATATGAATTTTAATGGTATAAATGTATGAAAACCATAATTTTTAATCAGAAAAAAAATAATTGAAAGAAAAACTGCACATTGTTATCTGCACAAGAGTATTATATCACACGTTATTGTTTTGACACTTTAAAACAACTTATAAAAATGTTATAAAAAATTGACAGACAATATTACAGTTATTTAACAAGCAATGGTAACAAATGTGTACTATTATGGTAGAAATGTATGAAAGCCGTCATTTTTGATCAGGAAATATATATATAAAATAAAAACACATTATTATACACACTAGTGTCATTATATCACTTCTCTCGCCTATATATGGTCAATGACCAAACTAAAACCTGAAAAGTTCTTTGATATTGTGAAGGTAACGTTAGTGATTATTTTCTCAAGTTTGACATGAAATTCCGACATGTTTAACGTGACTTTTCTATTCGACACCATCACGCTGGTCCACATGTTCTGATGACCTCACAATGGCCCGACTGCAGCAGCGCCATCGTCGTGACGTCACCGCCCATCAGCCAATCAGCGCTCGAGTTCTGCGGCACTTCCTCGAGGCCGCGCGACCGAGCGGGAGCAGTGCGCGCGGGTCGGAAGTCTCATTCCGAGAGAAAAGAGAAAAACAGAAATAAAACAATAAAGCAACAACAAATAAACACTGTCAAAACTTTGCGAATATGGACCATCACACAACATAGCGATACACGGACTGATAAAGCAGCGTTAGGACTGATATATAAGCGCTCATAAGGCGGACTGAGGGGCGCCGGGGAAGAGTTATCCGTTAGCCGCTAAATGCTAACGCACGAGACTAACTCACTGATTTATGATTTGACTGATTTCAGTGGGATTTCTGAGATATAAACCGCACAATCTGAGGGATAGTAAACACAGGAGTGGACGTGCTGTTAGTGGGACGTGTGTTAGTGAGTTTAAAAAGGCGGTTTTAGCAGTTTTTTCGGCGGCCGCTAAAGTCGAGGCCTGCTGTATGAGGAGTTTTAGGTAGCAGTCAGGTAAACAACTCTGCTTTCCTGTGAAACCAGCTCTTTTACTCGTGTTAGGGCAGTAAAGTGGTTAAGATGTCGGCCCAGGCCCAGATGAGAGCCATGCTGGACCAGCTGATGGGGACTGGCAGAGATGGTAAGTGACTCTTTCATTCTCTTCAAATCGAAACTAAACTATTATTTAGATTTTTAGTGTGTTATTTTTGGACTTGTTGAATTATAATGAGGTAAAGTTGTTGTTATTATGATCGCATATTATGACTTTCTCCTTAATATTGTCATTTCTGAGAAGTATTATTTGCCAATTCTAAATAGGGAAATCATCTTAACCAGAGACTATCGAGGTAAAGTTGGTTCTTATGCTTTCTGCATTCGAATATAATTACTTCTAAATAGTAAAATCACATTAGCAGCTAATGACTAACGTTATTAAAGTACAGCATTATTGTTCAAAGTCAAATAAATGTGCTAGTTTTGTTTTTAAGTCACTGTTAAGGGTAGTCATACACATGCTATTTCAAACTGAATATTCAAAGTAGCTTGGTAAACACAATATAGGGACTGAGACACAAGTTGTCAATGCTTAAAAATGAACTTCAATTAATTGTGTACATGTTGATATTTGGGTAATTCGTTTGATAGATCTGTTAATGTCTAATATTTTGAATCATTTCATGTCACTGTAATCATTGAATTGATTGACAGAAATCATGTATGATTTTTTTTTCGTATCATGAATTTCTGTATTTAGCTATTTTCAATATTTTTGTTCATTTTCCCAGTAATGGGTTGCAGCTGAAAGGGCATCCGCTGCGTAAAACATGCTGGAATAGAGGTAATATTCAGAAATTCTCCTTAATATAATTTCAGAAAAGTATTCTTTGCAAATTCGAAATAGGGAAATCATATTAGCAACAAATGACTATCAAAGTAACTTACAACATTGTTCACAGTGAATTAGATAGTATCAAAGTAACATGGTGAACAATATAAAGACTGCTAAATGAACGAATGTGCGAATATAAAACCGACATTACCCCTATTATTCTGAATAAGTTGGTGGTTCATTCCGCTGTGGTGACCCCAGATTAAAAAAGGGATTAAACTGAAAAGAAAATGAATGAATGAGTTAATGAATGGTTTCTTCATGATTTAAACTTTAAATTCCATTCATTCTTGTTGGTTCTTATGATTGAATTGATTTTATAAAAATACAATCATAATTTGTACGATTTGTCTGGTATGATTTTATAATATATCAGTCTGGCTTAAATCTGTATTTCTTTTCACTTATTGAACTATGTTCATTGATATGTTATGTTGGGATGTTGTTGTTTGTGGTTAATTTTACTAATGTGAGTTCATGAGAATCATGATTAAGCCGCTTACTGTGATTGGAAAGGATGATGTCATAATTTCATGAATTTTTTTTTTATAACATATATTCCTGAAATCATTTTTGAATTGACATGAATATCATGATTATAGTTTTTTGTTGTTGTTGCCATGACTTTAGGGTTGTTGTTCTTTTTATTTGTTTATTTTAACTTTTTGACTGATCTGAAATGAATAACATACGTTTTGATGAGATTCATGGTTAATTTGGTTTCGACGAATAGATTATGATTCATATGCCAGGATGATAAATATGACTTGGTTGACGACTTGACATGACTTTAAGAGTCATGAGTTTTACAGTTTGGCTAGAATGATTTTATACCACTGATATATTATATTAAATTGAGATTTATAGAATAGTATTAATTTCAATTGAATTTAATCTCGATTAAATCGCAGGGGATGCCCTTCCAGCTGCAACCCATTACTGGGAAACATCCATACACACTCAATTACACAATTATATATATACCACATGTTTTTGGACTTGTGGGGGAAACGAAGCACCCAGCCAAGGGTCAAACAAGCGACCTTCTTGCTGTGAGGCGATTGTGCTATCCACTATGCCACCGTGCTGCCCTGATCTGACTAGATTGACAACAGAAAATATATGAAAAAAACAATAAAATCATATTGACATAACCTTAAAATTTATTTATTTCTTTTTTTACTAATATGATTTGATTCATATAATTTAACTGTAGTCTTTTCATTACTCTCAATATTTTGATGATTAGTTGACGGTTCATGCCGCTGTGGCGCTGTGAGACCAAGCCAAAGGGAAATGATTGAATGATTAAAATTTGATTATTATTATTGTTGTTAAATTATTCTATTTCAGTCAAATTTTGTTAGGATTTACTGTCCATTTTTCACATGATTTGTTTAATTGATTTGTTTTGTTGGTTTTTCTAGATTTGATACGATTCATTTTTTTAATACTCATATTTTGTGTCTGTTTTTTGTCAGGCGACACCATGCGTCAGAGGATCAAGTTCACAGATGAGCGTGTGTGTAAGAGTCACTTGCTGGAGTCCTGTCCGCACGATATACTGTCAGGAACTGTGAGTATCTCCTCTTTAAGGTCAGGGCTAGTCCTTATTAAAGCTGCCTGATAAATCAAAATGAGTAATCAAAACCTGGATTTGTCATGCACATCTTGCCAGGGAAGCAGGCTCTGTTATCATTAGTAAATCTCACTTGAAGGCTAACTCCAAACACCCACAAAGAGGGAACCCAGGAAATCCACATAGGATTGCGTTATAAACAGAAGATTAAACTGCTTTTATTGATGCAGCATGACTGATAATCACATCATCTCATGGGAGGATTTATTTCAAACACTCGACTGAAGTTATGAAGTGAGATTGGAGCAGGAATATGTTATCGCTTGTGGTACTTTACATGCAGCATTTACTAAACTGAGCCGTAGTTCACACAGAATGATTATTTGAATGCTGAATGATTATCTTGATTTCATTTTAAGTCGTCTGTGATTATGAACGGGATATTGTGATTTCGCAATAAATGCTGCTCCATCTGAAAGCACCTGCTAGAGATTTACTAAAGAGCCGGCTTTACTGACAATGCGCATTAAATAGTTTTGATTACTCTTGCAGACCTTGTCTTCATTTCTTTGCTGCTATAACTTTGCTCATCCAAAACCTGTTTGATGATCATTGCTCTTCATTTACATTCACATTACGATCTCCAGAGTTTTAAAAGCAGTCTGTAATCCACTATGTTTGTGTGTTTGCGCAGCGCATGGATCTGGGAGAGTGTGTGAAGATTCACGATCTGGCTCTGAGAGCGGATTATGAGATCGCATCTAAACAGCAGGAGTTTTTCTTTGAGCTGGATGTGAGTTTGAACTTTTTTGTTTTTTGTTTACATCTTTGGATGGGCATTTTGATAAATGTTTTGTTTGTATTTTTGTATTACGTTGCATGTCCACCTCAGATATTCAGCCTGACTTTAAATGTCAATATTGCAACAAAAAACATATAGTTGTGGATTGCCCTATCTTTTTATTTTATTAGACAATAATTTTTATCTAAAGAGACTTTAAAAGAAATATTTGTAAATGTGAATTCTAGATTTTTTCTTTATCAAAAGTAAACCTAAACTATTAAAAAATATATAAAATAATAAAAAATTCAACAGGAGAGCTAATAATTCTGGCCTCAACTGTAATTGTGTGCTCTGTATTGTCTCATTATAATATTTCACATACTATTATTATTATTATTTTGGAAAACATGTCATATTTTGAGTAGAACTGTATTAACTGTATTAGTCCTGCCCTCTAAAAATCCACCTTATTGTCTAATGTTGCCCTTAATGTGGGAAAAGGGATTGTCCACCACTGTTCTTATAGTATTAAATGTGTGTAAACGTCTGATGGTGATGTTTTTTTTCTTAAGGCTGCTGAGCATCTTCAGTCCTTTATCGCAGACTGTGACCGAAGAACCGAACTGGCCAAAAAACGACTGGCAGAAACGCAGGAAGAGATCAGCGCTGAAGTCGCCGCAAAGGTAGAAAACGGCTCATCTGAAGTTTCAAATGCTTCTCATTCATGTGTTTTTTCACTTTCATGTTGCAGTTTCACACACCTGCTGATTTTCAGAGAATAGCAAGCAGAGTTACGGTTTACAGCTATGATATCTCATGGTTCAATTCAAAACAATATTTATTAATAGAGCACATTTAAAAACAACCAAGGTTGACCAAAGTGCTGTACATAAGAGTGCTAAAAACAGAGAAGCAGAATATAAAAGAAACATTTAACAGATAAGAGCAATAATACAGCGATCAAGGAGTATTAAAAGCGAGAGAAAATAGATAGGTCTTTAAAACAGACTTAAACACAGAGATGGAGGGGGAAAGTCTAATGTGAATCGGTAGACTGCTCCAGAGTGCAGGACCAGCAACAGCAAATGCTCGATCACCTCGTTTTTTAAGGCATGTTCTGGGCACGGTGAGTAAGTTGAGATCGTAAGATCTTAATGATCGAGAGAGGGTATATGGACAAAGCAAGTCAGTAAGATACTGAGGAGCAAGATTATTGACGGCTTTGTAGACGAATAATACAATTTTAAAATCAATTCTGTATTTAATGGGTAACCAGTGAAGTGCAGCTAATATTGGAGTAGTCTATAGCTGCTGCATTTTGAACCAGCTGCAGACGCGAGAGAGAAGACTGAGAAATACCAAATTAAAGAGCGTTACAGTAATCTAGACGTGTTGTTATGAAGGCATGAATCACCTCTTAAAAATTTTTCTGGGATAAAAATGGCTTGACTTTAGCCAGTTGTCGGAGGTGGTAAAAGCAGGATTTATTGACAGTTCTGATCTGTTTGTCAAATTTTAAGTTTTCGTCAAACATAACACCTAGATTTCTTACACACTGGGTAATATGCGGGGCCAAGGATCCCACATTGACATCTAACAGAGGATTTTCTTTGTGCCCAAATAAAATTACGTCAGTTTTTTTTTTTTTTTAATTTAAATGTAAAAATTTGCTTGAAAGCCGAAGTTTAATCTCCTCTAAGCAAGCCAGGAGTGACTTTATACATATTAAAAAAAGCCAGTATCCACTTCAATGAGTTTATACATATTAAAAATGTATTTGGCCTTTATCATCAATGCTGTGTGTTTACTGTTGTCATCATCTGACTGTTTGCCAGTGTGTTGATCTGTTTTTATTATTGTTTTGGATGTTTTGCTTGTTTTGTTAGGTTGTTTTTTCATGTGTGTGTGTTCACTGCTGTGTTCCTCTGTTGTTCAGGCGGAGCGCGTGCACGAGCTGAACGAGGAGATCGGGAAGCTGCTGGCGCGTGCAGAGCAGCTAGGCGGCGAGGGGAACGTGGACGAGGCCCAACAGGTGCTGGAGAAGGTGGAGAAGACACGCACTCTGAAGAAAGAGGCAGAGGTCAGTGAGGGGTCAGAGGTCACAGAGCAGCTGCAAATGTTGTGCTTTTTTTTACTGTGTATGGTTTTCTTTATTACATATAAAACTATTTTATATTCTTATTTTCTATGGCTGTTTTTAAATATACTTTTTAGAAACATATAACCAGTATATTATAGATACAGTTAAAGTCAAAATAATTAGGCCTTTATTTAAATAATTCAAAGCGCTACTTCAACTGTATATGCTTTATTTTATTTATTCATGTCTAAGGTTTTTCTATTACGTTATTATCTCTTTGTTATTCCATAATTAATTTAGTTATAATTTAATCTCCATTTTTTCCATATACAGGCAGTCCTATAAACCTTTCACTGCATGTTGTACTGTGTATGACTGTGTATGTGGTTAATAAAATTAGAGAACTGAATCACTTGTAGTTCACCCTTTATTATCTGAAGTGATTTGTTTTGGTTATTTTGAATGGAAACTTCTCAAACAGGAAGTTGACACCCATAATATACAATGCAGTAGTCAAAGGTGGATATAAAGCACTTATAATTGCAGTATTACAGTTTTAAATATATATTTATATTTACTTTATATATTACTTTATATTTCAGGACATCTACCGCAACTCCATGCCTGCGTCCAGTTTCCAGCAGCAGAAGTTGCGTGTGTGTGAGGTGTGCTCTGCTTACCTCGGCCTCCACGATAATGACCGCAGACTCGCAGATCATTTCGGAGGAAAACTGCATATAGGCTTCATCGAAATCCGAGAAAAACTTGAAAAACTGAGGGTAAGACTGCAGCACATGCATCATATCATGCTTTTTTTTCTCTTATTGCACTTCAGTAACAACCTCTGACACATTTTTAAAAATACATATATTATTTCTGTATACATTTATACGAGTCTACATAGATAAATGTATTTGAGTTTACATGATATGTAGGCCCAGACAGAAACTGTGGACGTTTCTTGCCATTTCTGAGCAAGAAACTTTTTTTTTTTTTTTTTTAATTTTGTAAAAAATCTGCAGATTTATGTTGAATGATTTTTTTGGGAGAATCTAACTACGAACGTAATATATTAAATAAAGAAAGACCCTTCTAAATTTTATTTAATGTTTGCGATGCAAATCCAATTAAAGCCACTTATTTGGTTAACAAAGCAAGTCTCTCATGTAATATATCTAATAAAAGACAGATAATATTGCTACATAAACTGTATTGTAAATAAATAATATGAACATTTTCATATTAGTCAATAGTACTACAGAAAATAATTTAAAACTGAATAAATATAATTTACACAAGTAAATAAATAGTCTCAGCGATGGGCTAAAATGTGCAGATTCTGTGTGGGCCTAATGTAATGTATGTCTGTATGTTGTGTTTTACTTGTCTATTGTTGATCTGTGTGCACTATTTTGTTATGTCATGATTATTAGGAGTAATGCAACATCAATCCTCTTTGTAGCTGCTGTTACATGGTCTGGTTGACATTAAAGTTCACTTTGACATGAAGTTGATCGTGACAAAAATCTATCTTTTAGCAATATATATATATATATAACAAAACCGTATCATTTGTGTAAATTCAATCAGTTGTTAGTGCTGGGCAAAAGTTAAGTGCAGTTAGTCACATCCAAATTAAAAATTTGTTTTGACGTAACATATTTGTATTATTATTAAAAAAACTATACAAAACAATTTTGTTACATATATATTTAAATTTATGTATAATTTATATCATATACACATGCATTTTATGTCTAAATATACATTAACAATTTCTCAAATATATGCATGCATGTGTGTATGTATTTATACAAAATAAATATACAAAGTGCGCACACTTAAATTATGTCAAAACCAGCTCATCTACCATAACCCCACACTTTGGAAGACAAATGTTGCCAGGTATGCTGTTACTCATGTTTCTGTTTGCATCTTCATAATGGCATGTAATATTGCACTTAAATTAATTATGAACAAGTATAACCTTGTGTTTTATGACACCAAAACAAACAACAGAGCATTATCTGGAATGATAAGGTGCATCCCAAATCGCATATGAATGCACTATTGTAGTATAAATAATGTCAGTTGTGCAATGTGAGTGAGTTGATTATGCTGCCTTCTGATGGTGGATGTGATTATACTCATGGCAGCTACTATATAATAGTTTGGTAATTTATTTGAGTAATTTGGCCACCTTCAAATTGCATCTGGGTAACTATTTAAATTTTCTGGTTAGTAAAAAAAAAAAAAAAAAAAAAGTGTCATTCATTCATTTCTTAAAATTCTTATACTATGCGGTCTGTTGAGTGTGTAAATGCATAAGTACACAGTGCATTAGTGTATAGTGTGCCAGAAATAGTATATATATATATATATATATATATATATATATATATATATATATATATATATATATATAGTCACGTTGCACAGCTGTAATTCAGCTTGTGATGGATGATCTGTTGTTGTTTCCAGAAAGCTGTGACGGAGAAGCAGGAGCGTATGCGCACGAAGAGGAGAGAGGAGCGCGACCGAGAGGAGGAGCGAGCCCGAGAGTGGGAGATGGAGAGAGAGAGGGAACGAGAGAGAGAGCGGGAGAGAGAGAGAGAACGAGAAAGGGAGAGAGAGAGGGACAGAGAGAGAGACCGCAGGAGGTGCGTTTGGTTTATTCTCATGACGTTTCTGAATGCTGGTAATGTGGTGGACAGCAGTACAGTCAGCAGCATTTCTGTAGTGCAGCAAAACCATCATAGTTGTGCTGAAACTATTGATTAACACCCATTTTTGTCTTGGAACTTTTTTACAATTATCTCTTAGGGGTTTTACCGTCATTTGTATAGGACAGTAAACATTTGACAGACAGGAAAGTGTGGGGAGCAGAGTAAGGGGAAGGATTGTCAAAGGACCTAACTCGAGTCTAACTCGGGTCGCCGTGAGCAGCTCGGTTCTGTGTTGACGCACTAACCACTAAACTGTTGGCCCAGACTGTCTCAGAACAATTTTTAATTACTTTTTTGATTTACTTCAAATTTGTATTACTGTAGTGTAAATTTTTCTGAAATTAAAATTTATATAATTTATAAATATTTGTAAATATAAATTGATTCTCCAGTTGTGTAATTTAATTAAATGTGGAGTTGATTGTGTTTAGTGTTACTATTTAAATTAATAAGAACTTTTTTTGTGATGATATAATGTTATAATAATTTTAATTATAATTAAATATGTATTTTGCTATGCTAATATAAATAATTATATGTATAAAATATAATATAAAATAATTTTTTTTTTTTAATTATTGGATTTATTTTAAATTATTTTATCCATTCATTATATATATATATATATATATATATATATATATTTTTTTTTTTTTTTTTTTTTTTTTTTTTTAAATCTACTTCTTAACATTAACAAATGCAACTGGTGTTTTTAAAAATTACATTTAGAAATTGTAGTTGACGTCACCTCATACTTTTGTTTCTCATCAAATCTCCTGACGAATTTAATGCTCTTGTGTATCTCATGTCGCACCCCCTTCAAGGCACTATTGCTAAATATACTTCAACTCAACCACTTTCCCTGGCAGAGCTGTGATGAAATGAAATGCTATTGGCTGTTTTAAAAAGGGGAGGAGCTATTCTATTCCCCTCCCCCTCTCTCACGTTCGGTGTGATCAAACATGATTTCATTTATTCATTTTCCTTCAGCTTAGTCCCTTTATTTATTAGAGGTCGCCACAGTGGAATGATCCGCCAACTTATCCAGCATATGTTTTGCATAGGTTTTTGGGAAACACCCATACACTCTCACATTCAAACACTCACACACTACAGCCAATTTAGTTCATCAATTCCACTATAGCTTATGTGTTTGGACTGTGTGGGAAAACCGGAGCACCCAGAGGAAACCCACGCCAACATGGGGAGAACATTCAAACTCCACACAGAAATGCCAACTGGCATAGCCAGCACTCAAACCAGCGACCTTCTTGCTGTGAGGCGACAGTGCTAACCACTGAGCCACTGTGTCGCCCCCAAACATGATTTCAAAGACATTCAAATGACAGAAGCATCATGATATTTAGTGTTTGTCTTCTTTGCTGTGTCCGCAGGTCCAGATCCAGGAGTGGAGAACGCTATCGGTGAGCGTCCGCTTTATTTAGCCTAACGTCTCTCTCTCTCTCTCTCTCTCTCTCTTAGCTAAGCAGTGTTTATATTGATGTGTGTTTGTGTTTCTCAGGGAAGGAGGAAGCTCGTCTTCTCATCGCTCTCGCCGTCATCGTGAGGATGGAGAGAGAGAACGGGAGCGAGAGAGAAAACACAGACACAAAGATCGCCATCGCTCTCGCTCTCATTCACACAGGAGCAAGAGGAAGAGGTGCGGGAACACTTTCACTTCTGTTTAATAACCAGTGTTAACAACAACATGTTTAATGCTCATAATACAACATAATGCTTATAATATTATGTAATATAATGCTATACAGTGAAACACTGTCAGTTCTGTTTAAAAACCAGGTAACAGCAACAACAAATACTTTAATAAATGCATTGCTCTTTGTTAATTAATGCATCAACTTAACTATTTTAAAAAAATAACTATTAACTGTTAGTAGCATCACCAATACAGTTAAATATAGTATCATGTAATATAACTCTCATAGTTTAATATATATATATATATATATATATATATATATATATATATATATATATATATATATATATACATACATATAATGCCCATAATATAATTCTTTTAATATAAAAGAATATAATATAATGCTCAAAATAAAATATTTAATATTATATATAATAATTATATAATATTCATTTATATAATGTAACATATTGCTTATAATATAATCCTCATAATATTATAATATATAGAGTCAACAAGGAACTGGAAATATTCCTCAGAGATTTTGCTCCATATTGACATGATAGCATCACGCAGTTGCTGCAGATTTGTCGGCTGCACATCAATGATGCGATTCTCCCGTTGCACCACATCCCAAAGGTGCTCTGTTGGATTGAGGTCTGGTGACTGTGGAGGCCATTTGAGTTCAGTGAACTCATTGTCATGTTCAAGAAACCAGTCTGAGATGATTCATGCTTAATGATATGGTGCGTTGTCCTGCTGGAAGCAGCCATCAGAAGACGGGTACACTGTGGTCATTAAGGGATGGACATGGTCAGCAGCAATACTCAGGTAGGCTGTGGCGTTGACACGATGCTCAGTTGGTACTAATGGACCCAAAGTGTGCCAAGAAAACATCCCCCACATCGTTACACCAACACCAGCCTGAACTGTTGATACAAGGCAGGATGGATCCATGCTTTTATGATGTTGATGCCAAAATCTGACCCACCCATCTGAATGTGGCAGCAGAAATAGACTCATCAGAGCAGGCGACGTTTCTCCAATCTTCTATTGTCCAGTTTTGGTGAGTCTGTGTGAATTGTAGCCTCAGTTTCCTGTTCTTACCTGACAGGAGCGGCACCCGGTGTGGTCTTCTGCTGCTGTAGCCCATCCGTCTCAAGGTTGGATGTGTTGTGTGTTCAGAGATGCTCTTCTGCAGACCTCGGTTGTATCGAGTGCTTATTTGAGTTACTGTTGCCTTTCTGTCAGCTGGAACCAGTCTGGCCATTCTCCTCTGACCTCTGGCATCAACAAGGCATTTGCGCCCACAGAGCTGCCGCTCTCTGGATATTTTCTCTATATAGGACTGTTCTCCGTATACCTAGAGATGGTTGTGCATGAAAATCCCAGTAGATCAGCAGTTTCTGAAATACTCAGAGCAGCAACCAAGTGCCACATTCAAAGTCACTTGAATCACCTTTCTGCCCCATCCTGATGCTCCGTTTGACCTGCAGCAGATCGTCTCGACCACGTCTTGACCTAAATGCATTGATCCCATGTGACTGGCTGATTAGAAATTTGCGTTAACAAGCAGTTGGACAGGTGTACCTAATAAAGTGGCCGGTGACTGTGCAATGTAATGCTCACTGTTTCTCCCGCTCCTCCAGGTCTTCCCACACCAGAGATCAGGAGCGTCCGCCGTCCGAGGAGCTGTGGAGGGAGAGCTGCGCTGTGGAGGAGCGGTGGCGGGACGACGGCCGGCGGGACACAGAGAGAGAGAGATCGCCCAGCACCGAGCTGAGCCGCATGAGGGAGCGCGAGCGGTCTGTGTCTCTGGAGAGAGAACAGAGATCCAGCTCTGAGGAGAGAGAGTCTGGAGAGATCTAAAACACCGCCGTCTGAAAACACATGATGCAGAGAGAGAGAGAGAGAGAGAGAGAGAGAGAGAGTGTGTGTGTGTGTGTGTGAGTGAGAGTCTTGAGAAATCTAGAACACACCCGTCTGAAAACATATGATGCATGATGCAGAGAGAGAGTCTGGAGAGATCTAGATCAGTGTTTCTCAACCACGTTCCTGAAGGAGCACCAGCTCTGCACATTTCCATGTCTCCTTAACCAAACACAGCTGATTCAGATCATCAGCTCATTAACAGAGACTGAAAGAGCAGTAATGGCCGTGACGGACAAAGGAGACATCCAAAACATGCAGTGCTGGTGGTGTTCCAGGACAGAGGTCGAGAAACACTGATCTACAACACAACCGACTGAAATCACATGATTCAGAGAGAGTGTGTGTGTGTGTGTGTGTGTGTGTGTGTGTGTGTGTGTGTGTGTGTGTGTGTGTGTGTGTGTGTGTGTGTGTGTGTGTGTGTGTGTTCTATCTATCAGAGAGAGAGAGAGAGTCTGGAGAAGTCTAGAAAAACATCTGATTACAATCAGATCCTGATGGCCAGTGAATGCAGAGAGTGTGTGTGTGAGAGGTATGTGTGTGTGCATGTGTGAGGGAATGTGTTTAGGAGTGTATGTAGCATGCTAGTGTGTGCATTTATAAGTGCATGTGTGGTCGCCCCTGTATGTGAGTGTATGTGAAAGTGTGTGTGTGTGTGTGTGTTTGTTTCAGAAAGAGAGAGTCTGGAGAAGTCTAGAACAACATGATCAGAATCAGATCCTGATGGCCAGTGAGCGCAGAGAGAGTGTGTGTGTGTGTGTGTAAGCGTGTGTGTGTGTGTGCACGCATGAGAGAATGTGTGTAAAAGTGTATGTGGCTGTGCTTGTGTGTGCATGTAAGTTTGGGTGGTCGCCCTTGTGTGTGAGTGTTTGTAGGAGTGTGTGTGCATGAATGTGCAAACAATTTTTTGCTCGTGTGAAGAAGTCTAGAACAACAACTGATCACAATCCGATCATCCTGATGTCCAGTGAATGCAGAGAGAGTGTGTGTGAGCGTCCTTGAGTGTGCATGCGGGAAAGAATGTGTGTAAGAGTGTATGTACGCATGCATGTGTTTTTGCCCTTGTTTGTAAGTGGTTGTAAGAGTGAGTGTGTGTATAAGTGTGCAAACAATTGCTTGTGTGTGCGTGCGTGCGTGTGCGTGCGCGTGTGTGTGTGTGTGTGTGTCTCAGAGAGAGAGAGTCTGAAGAAGTCTAGAACAACATCTGATCACACTCTGATCCTGATGGCCAGTGAATGCAGTGTGCAAGTGTGTATGTGTGGTCGCCCTTTGTATGCAAGTGTGTGAGAGTGTGTGTGTGTGTGAGAGAGTGAGAGCTGCATCATTATTTGACCCTCAGACAGTCGGAGTTGCTCTGATCTTCTCTGCAAACCAAAAGAACAGCTGAGGGAGGGAAGGGAGCGAGCGCGTTTAGACGTAGTTCAATTTTTTATGTTGCAAAGAAAATAAAATAAGAGCAGGCGGAGGAAGAAAAGCCCTGCGGGATATAAAACCACCACTGAAGAAGTCTTGTTCATCATTTTACAACTGCTTATTATTATTTTCCTTTTTTATTAAAGCTCTTTGAATGACTGATTTGACGTGGAGATTGTTATTTTGCTCTTCTCTGTTCTGCTGATTTCATTTCACCTGTAAACCTGGATTAAAATGTGATTTCTTTTCCTTCCTCCTACAAAAACCGCACCAGTGTCTGCACACACGAGCCTCCGCACGCGTCTCTGACTGGGTTGTTACATGGTTTCTGACGGTACGTGATGTGTGCGGAGCTCCTCTTTGGATCACTCTTTGGTTTTGCGGTGTTGAGCGGTTGTCTTGAAAACTTCATCTTGCCTTGTCATTCATGCTATGAAACAATAAATCTGTTGCTTTCATTGTTTGAAGTGTTTCGGGGCTGCTTCTTTAAAGCAAGTCATGCATTTTTCTTTGGCTGAGTGCAGGGGTGTCCAAACTCAATCCTGGAGGGCTGGTGTCCTGGAGAGTTTAGCTCCAACCCTAATTAAACACACCTGAACCAGCTAATTAAGCTCTTACTATATATACTAGTACAGGAGTGGCCAACCCTGTTCCAGGAGAGCCACCTTCCTGCAAATTTTAGTTGCTACCCATATTAAACACACCTGAACCAATTAATTAGGACCTGAACACCACATGGTAATTACAGGCAGGTGTGTTTGATATGGGTTGCAACTGAAATCTGCAGGAAGGTGGCTCTCCAGGAACAGGGTTGGCCACTCCTGTACTAGAAACTTCCTGACAGGTGTGTTGAAGCAAGTTGGAGGTAAACCAGGGGTCATCAATCTCGTTCCTGGAGGTCCAGTGCCCTGCAGATTTTAGCTCCAACTTGCCTCAACACACCTGGCTGGGTGTTTCAAGTATGTCTAGTAATTAGCTTGTTCAGGTGTGTTTGATTAGGGTTGGAGCTGAAATCTGCAGGACACCGGCCCTCCAGGAACAAGTTTGGTGATCTCTGAATTTGGACACCCCTGTCCAAGTGCCTTTATTTATCAGGGGTCACCACAGTGGAATGAACCCTCAATTATTTCAGCATATGTTTTACACAGCAGATGCTCTTCCAGCTGCAAACCCAGTACTGGGAATCACCTATACACTCTCATTCATACACACACTCATACACTACAGCCAATTTAGTTAATTCCCCTACAGCACGTGTTTTGACTGTGGGGTAAACCGGAGCATTGTGTCGCTTCCCTTTTACGTTAATAGAAACACAAAGTACAACAAAAAGAAATATTTTGTTACTATTTTCTGTTCCCTTGATTGTTAGTTGTACAAATTGCCATAAAAATATATATAAACAAATAAATGAAAACATGAGGGTGTGCAGGACAAAACCTGCAAAAACAAAATAAATAAAACAATCAATAAATAAATACGCAAATATAAAAATGAGTAAAAAAATCCATATATCCCTGCAAAACCAAAACGATAAATAAATAAATGATTAAATAAATCCATAAATTCCTGCATAACTAAAACAATAAATAAATAATTAAATAAATCCCTGCATAACTAAAACAATAAATAAATGATTAAATAAATCCATAAATCCCTGCATAACTAAAACAATAAATAAATGATTAAATAAATCCATAAATCCCTGCATAACTAAAACAATAAATAAATAATTAAATAAATCCCTGCATAACTAAAACAATAAATAAATGATTAAATAAATCCCTGCATAACTAAAACAATAAATAAATAATTAAATAAATCCCTGCATAACTAAAACAATAAATAAATAATTAAATAAATCCCTGCATAACTAAAACAATAAATAAATAATTAAATAAATCCCTGCATAACTAAAACAATAAATAAATAAATTATTAAATAAATCCATAAATCCCTGCAAAACCAAAACGATAAATAAATAAATGATTAAATAAATCCACAAATTCCTGCATAACTAAAACAATAAATAAATAATTAAATAAATCCCTGCATAACTAAAACAATAAATAAATGATTAAATAAATCCATAAATCCCTGCATAACTAAAACATTAAATAAATCCCTGCATAACTAAAACAATAAATAAATAATTAAATAAATCCCTGCATAACTAAAACAATAAATAAATAATTAAATAAATCCCTGCATAACTAAAACAATAAATAAATAAACATGCAAATCAATAAAGTAGTAAATAAATCCATAAATTTCTGCTTAAATAAAACAATAAATAAAATAAATGGGCAAATAAATAAATAAATGATTAAATAAATTAATAAATTCTTGCATTACTAAAACAATAAATAAATATGGCAATAAATAAATACATTTCTGCATAACTAAAACAAATAAATATGCAAATAAATAAATAAAATTTCTAAATAAAATTAACAAATTCCTGCATAAAAATATAAATAAACAATATTAGGGTCAATCATCAGATGCCAGTTAAAAAATCAAATGCAAATTTTTTTCTAACGATCAACCAATGAAGGCATAAAGACCGCCTACTGCTGATTGACGGACAGCCGCTCATTAGCATGTTGACCTGAGGAAAGGTAAACACGAAACTACGTTCAAGAATGAATAAACGTTTGAAAGTGGTGAAAAAAAATGTACTTTTAGTTTAGAAATGTCTTATTCCCCCAAGATTTGTGTATTTTATTTAATTATTTCCCTTCCCGCACATATTTATTTATGCAGGAATTTGTGGATTTTTATATACCCTATTCATTTAAATATTTCTTTATTTACGTTTTATTTATGCAAATATTATGGATTTATTTTCTCATGAATTTATATATTTGCGTGTTTACTCCAATAGTTTATTCAGTCTCTGTTTCTGCAGGTTTCATCCACCATACGAGGGCAGCAGCGCGCGCATTATCTCCAGCCGCGGCGTCGCGCTTTGTGACGTCACGTGAGTGAGCTTTGAAAAATACGCGCGAGAAAAATAAGCGACGGAAACGGCAGTATTCGCTGTTTTTTCGGTAAACGAACGAACAAACAAACAAGTAAACAAATAAAAAAAAACTCGAGTCGTGGTTGAAAGCGCTCGTCATGGCGCTCCTGTCGCCGTACAGTAAAGTCCCCGAGCTGAACACCGCTACTGTTCTCGTGAGTATCGACCGTCAGTAGCTGATATGAGGGATGATGTTTGTTTACAACTCTAATATTAAAGTTTTTACGGTTTAATGTAATCCAAATAGTTGGTTGAAAATGAGGAGGAGCTGCAGAACAAACTAGCCAACGCCATAGTACAACATGAGAAGGATTTCAACGTCAATGTGTGAGTGCCAAATACACATTTAAAACATTCATGCTTATCATTTGTGTTTATAACTCGTATATGGATATTTAATGCTATTTGTCATATTGTTATTGTTTACAGTTATTCACAGACTCCATCTTACTGTGTAACATCGTAGTTTGTTGTCATAAATGAACTAAATAACAGTATTCCTATATTGTTTTAACAGTATTATTCTAGCAAAAATGTACTATATTATTTATATCATTATGATTATCTATTATGATATTTACATATTATTGTTTAAAAATTTTAAGTTGAATCGCTAATAATAATTCTTCTTATCCTGATTTGTATTTTGCTGTTTATTAAAAGTAATAATATTGTATAATAAGCATTTGTTTTATTGATGATGTATAGATTTTATAGCATTTTTCTTCTTATTATGTAATTAATACTGTTTTTAAAGGGATAGTTCACCCAAAACTGAAAATTGTCATCATTTAAAAGTTTCTTTCTTCTGTTGAACACGAGAAGACATTTTGGAGAAAGCTGGAAACCGGTAACCATTGACTTCCTTAGTATTTGTCTTTCCTACTACATTAGTCAATGGTGACCGGTTTTCAGCATTCTTCAGAATATCTTCTTATATGATCAACAGAATACAGAAACTCATAAAGGTTTAGAAACTTTTGTAAATAGTGAGTAAATGTTTGTTTTTGGCTGAACTCCCACTTTAATTCAGTGTAAATGCTTCTGATGTGTTTCAGACGTTTGGCCAAGAAACTCCCTCTGCCTGTTGAGAACAAGGAAGCTCGTCCACGTATTGATTTGATAGTGTTTATAGTGAGTCTGCTGTCCGAGCGCAGGTACATCTGTCTGTCTGTCTGTCTGTCTGTCTCTCCGTCTGTCTGGTGTGTTTGACCGTGAGTGCTCAGACTCTCTCTCTCTCTCTCTCTCTCTCTCTCTCTCTCTCTCTCTCTCTCTCTCTCTCTCTCTCTCTCTCTCTCTCTCTCTCTGTTTTCAGTCTTCAGTCTGCAGAGAGTTCCCTCAGTCATCTTCATTCAGACTGTTTTCTGGGGAAAGTGTGTTTCCTGGTGACTGACGGTGAGTTTTACAGAACCATCATACAGTCAATCACACAGCACACAATCTTGCATCTCAACATTCTTATACAAATTTGATTTAATTTGATTTGTTTATTTTCGAACATAAATATCATACATAAAATATATTCAAGACAATAAAAATAATTTTAACATGGTCGAAAAGTGAGCGGGATGAAGCACAAGCTTATTATTTTCCCAAATTAATTCATATTGCTAAAAAAAAATGCATTCAGCGTCACATACACTGACAAGGATTGATTGGATGCTGTTCTAAATTAGGTTTATTTATGTTTTACTCATAATAATAATAATCATAATAATTTGTAAGATTTAATAAAAATAATAAGCGTTTAAAATAATTAATACGATTTTCTTTAGTAATAATTACTATTTCTTTTTTTACTATTTATTTATTCATTCCTATTTAATTATTTTTGTCTTTTTATGTGAAGTGTGCTGCTTGGACAAATTGATTTCTTTCTGGCATTAATAGTGAAATTAGAAATGTCATTTTATTTTGATGCATGCCTGCCGGATGAACGCATTTCATTTTTCAAGAAAAGCACACTAACTTTAAAGGTGCATTTTGTAAATTTGGCCTCTAGAGGGCGTGTACTCACAACAAACAAAGGCATATTTTGGTGGCGATAAGACCGGAGTTGTAGTCTTCATCATCCTACACGCAGGGGTGCAGCTAGGGGGTAAAGTTATTACTATTCTAAGGGCCAATGCTGTTTTGGGGCCCCCAGAGTTACTATTAGGGGCCCCCCAATCGGACCCCACAAACCCCTCCCCCCTTTACTATCATTGGTGGCATCATCAAAATGTTATCATAAGGCCCGTTCTGGCCCTGCCGACATGATCATGCTGATGACGAGTAAAGTATTCAACACGTATTATCATGTTAGTAAGACTAAAAGAAGCGATGTTATAAGGCTGTTAGCTATACGCATAATATATAACACTATTCTAGTGGTTTTGGGGCATTTTCATGAAAAAAAAGACATTGTGCCTTTAAAGAGCCCATATTATACATGAAATAGGGTCATATCTTGGTTGTAAGGGTCTCCAACAACAGTCTAATATGCATGCAAGGTCAAAAAACACTTTCATGGTCTTATAATCTGCATTTATTTTTACCTAATTATCCCAGCGACTCCTGTATGAATCGTCCAGTGATTCATTTGTTCCCAAACCCCTCCTTAGCGCGAAGCTAATCTGCGCTGATTGGACCAATGACAGTCTGTTGCGATTGGTCGACTGCCTTCAGTCAGAGAGTGAAATGGCCAATAGCTAATCAGCAATTTAAAAAGTAATCACAGTTCATACACGCTCGATAGTGTAGGCGTGGACTTTAGCTGCCACACACACACAAACACACACACACACCTCCGGACGAGAACGCTCCCGCTTCCTCCCGCACCCGCCAGGTTTTAGCCTTAGAACCCGCCCCGTATTCTGCCCGCCGCGCCCGATCCCGCTAAAGAGCGGGGGAGAACAAAACCGAAAATCTGTATAAACACACACACAGCACCAAGCATAAAGCTCTCGCTCGCTCTCTCTCTCTCTCTCTCTCTCTCTCTCTCTCTCTCTCTCTCTCTCTCTCTCTCTCTCTCTCTCTCTCTCTCTCTCTCTCTCTCTCTCTCTCTCTCTCTCTCATACGCGCGCGTGCGCACTAACACACAAGCACCAAGCAGACACATCTTTCTCTTTCTCAGGCAGCCCGCTCCCGTCCCAAATCAAACCCGTTACCGACCGCTCCGGCGATTTATTCGGAAATTTATTCCCGCGCCGCAGAAATCTGGCGCGGGGACAGCCGCGGGTATGCACACCTCTAACGTTACCACGGAGCTCCATAAACAAAGCAGCACGCGTCGCGTTTTTAACGTGACTTTGCACGCGATAAGAGAATATAGCCAGTTAACCTGATACAGTACACTCGGTTACAAGTAACAAATCACAACTAAATACATTTGCAAGCTAGAGTCAACGAGGCAACAACTTTAACCGCACGTACTTACACTTGAGAAATGGAAGAAACCCATCCTGATGTCCATCAGTAAGTTACTGATCCTTCCTTTAACAAACGCAGATGAAGTATTCTTTGTAGCATGTAGCTTCCAGAAGTTTCCAGTAGTTTCCAACTGCTTGGCTATAATGCTGAGGTTTCATCTTTGGGTAGAGACTCAATATATCCATCTGCAATGTGACTTCAATCGACCGGCATGTTTGTGTGCGTGTGTTTGTGGGTGTGTGTGTGTGTGTGTGTGTGTGTCTGGGTTACTGCGTCAGAGGGCGGGGCCTCAGGTTTGAAATCTCCCGGGTTTGCGCGTGCACGTGAAAAACTTTGTTTCGTTCGTACGTCATGGCGAAACACCTAATGAGTCGATATCAAGGCGACTCGTTTGAAGCACTATGAATCGACTCTTTTATAGATGAATCAACAGTTTTAAACACTGTATTCTTACAGATTTAAGCCTTAGCTGGATACTTCACTTCACTTAGAGCTGTGTTACACACTACATGGAGGGGAATTTTCAAAAACCCATAATATGGGCTCTTTAAATTTTCTTGAAGGGTTGTGAAGCGTCTGTCTGTGAATGTCAGAGTTAGTCTGATGTATCCATGTGTGTTTTCAGCTCGCTGTGGTTCTCACACTCAGGAGCGTTTGGTCAGTGTGAGGAAACTGGCTGCTTCACATCACTGTCCCGTCATCTGCGCTGAACACAGGGTAATTTCCCTCATCCCTTTTGTTATTATACAACTCCTGAACTCAGAAATAAAATGATCTTTTGGCATATAAGAGGTTATCGCACAAAACAATCAGAAACAAAAATCAAAACATCTCGTACTTTTAAGAGCTGCACATCGAGTCCAAAAACAACAGCATGTTTGTTTTTAAATCATGTTGTTTTGATTTAGTCTGAGTTTGATATTAGAGATGCACGATGATGTTAAGTATTTTGTACGATATAAGATTTACCTAGAAAAATGACATTTTTTATTAGCTATATTTAAATTTTTTTAATTTGCCACGAGCACCAGTGTGTCAATGTCTGCGCACTAGGCTATTGGCGCCGACATTAGATATATATTTGAAGTAATTTATTTATGCAATTGGATTAAAATAAATGTGTAAAATATATAATTTCAGATCAATTTCAGATTAAAAAACTGGGTCCAGGTGCAAACATTTAGTCTTTAAAACACTATGAAGGATAAACGGCTGTTAGTATTAATGAATACTGTCAGTAAATGTCTTTCTGTGTGTGTGCGTGTTTCTGTGTGTGCGTGTGTGTGCACGCGCATTACTGTGTGTGCGTGTGATTTCGTGTGTGTGTGCTTGTTTTTTGTGTATGTGCGTTTTATTTGTGTGTGTGCGTTTTTTAATATGTGTGTGCATGCATCTTTGCACATGTGTGGGCGCACTTGTGTGTTGTGGGTTTTTTCTATATGCATGTGTTTTTTGTATGTGTACATTGTGTACATGCATGTGTGTACGTGTGTGTGCATGCCTTTTGTGTGTTGACATGCATGTGTGGGTGCGCTTGTGTGTGTCTGCGTGTTTTTGTGTGCATGTGTTTGTTTGTATCGGTGGGTGTGCTTGTGTGCATTTTTTGTGTGTTCATGCATGTGTGTGTGTGTGTATGCATGCATGCGTACATGTGTGGGTGCGTTGTGTGTATGTGTGTCAGACTGCAGAGGGTGTGAGCGCTGCAGCTCTGCGTCTTCTCAATATTCTGCAGGTTTCAGCAGGAATGACCCCTATCTCCACCACGGCCCTCTACCTGTCCACACTGACCCGCTGCTCGCTGACCTCTGACCTCCAGGAGGACTACCTGCAGTAACTCCATCATTCAGCTTCAGAGGCCAGAATCCCACAGCGTTGCAGGTGGATCAGGTGGATCTGAACTATACATTCTTTACCATGAATTTGACCTGTGTTCATCTGGCCCTCACTCTTTTACGAAATTAATAACGCTCCAGCCAGCAGATGGAGCCGTTATGTAGCTAATGATTACTTTTGTCGTGTTGCCCAAATAATCTCCCCCTTACAGTATTTATAAATAAAACAGTTTTAAATATGAGGCTCTACGTTTTTTTATGTTATTGCTGCTTAAATTAATCAATTAAATAATTTTCTCACAAACATGCATGTACATTATAGTTTTAATAACTCATCTCTAATAACTGATTTATTTTATCTTTGTCATGATGATAGCAAATAATATTTGACTGGATATTTTTAAAACACTTCTGTTCAGCTGAAAGTGACATTTAAAGGCTTAACTAGGCTAATTAGGCAAATCATTGTATAACAATACTTTATTCCATCGAAATTATGCACACCCCTGGCAAATTCTGACTGCTAAATACTCAACCAGCAAGTTTGTTTTGAACAGAAATGACAACGGCTTCTTCCACTGATAACAAGAAAATGCATCATTGTGAAAAACAAATGCCTCTCAGCTTTTATCTACGTTTGAGCAAAAACAAAAAACAAAAGTCAGAATTGTCAGGAATGTATGTATTTATTTCTATATTTATATGTGAACAAGTCTAATATTGCAACAACCCCAATTTCGAGATTTTTTTTTTTTCAGTTTTAAGATATTTTAGTCGTTCAATATGAACTAAATGAACAAAAAATGTTTTTCTGAGAAACACAAATTAAGTTGAAGTCAGAATTATTTAAAGGCTTTATTCATTTAAGGCTTACATTTGAGCAAAACAAAACAAAACAAAAAAAAAAAAAATATATATATATATATATATATATATATATATAATGTGTGGACAAGTCTATTATTGTAACAACCCTAATTCTGAGTTTTTTTTTTTTTTTTTTTCAGTTTTTAGATATTTTAGTAGTTCAATATAAACTAAATACATTTTTTTTGGTCTAATGTTTTTTAAGAAACACAAAGCTGAAGTCAGAATTATTAGCCCTGCTGTTTTTTCCATCACATTTCTAAACATAATAGTTTTAATAACTCATCTCTATTCACTGATTTATTTTATCTTTGCCATGATGACAGTAAATAATATTTGACTAGATATTTTTCAAGACACTTCTATACAGCTTAAAGTGACATTTACAGGCTTATCTAAGTTAATTAGGCAGGTTAGGGTAATTAGGCAAGTCATTATATAATGATGGTTTGTTCTGTAGATTATTGAGAAATAAATAGCCTAATGGGGCTAATAATATTGGCCCTAAAATAGTTTTAAAAAAATAAAAAACTGCTTTCATTCTAGCTGAAATAAAAAAAATAAGACTTTCTCCAGAAGAAAAAATATTGTCAGACATACTTTGAAAGTTTCCTTGCTCTGTTAAACATCATTTTGGAAATATTTAACAAGGAAAAAAAATTCAAAGGGGGCTAATAATTCTGACTTCAACTGTATATATATTGTTTTATCTTTTGTTCTGTTTTCCTTTCCTGCACTGGTTTTACTTCAGTTTGAGCTGCAGCTCTGGTCTGAATGAAGGCCTTGATCTGCACTCCAGTAACCTCATCCCTCAATGCTCTCTATTCCCCACCGACTACTTTCCTTTTTCGGGTTTCCATGACAACCTCACCTGTTGCAAACCAATCCTATCGGTAACCCGAGTCCTGAATAATGGACGCTCTTTGGGAAGAAAATGACAAAAAGGCTTTCTGGCATCTTACCTGAGCTCCTGTCTCTCTCTCTCTCTCTCTCTCTCTCTCTCTTACTCTCACTCTCACTCAGTCAATTCCATTCAATTCAGTTCAATAATTGCTTTATTGGCATGACAAATGCTACAAATGTATTGCCAAAGCATTTATAAAGTTAGGCTGACACAGTGAATCAGTGGTTAGCACTACCGCCTCACAGCAAGAAGGTCACTGGTTCGAGTCTCAGCTGAATCAGTTGGCATTTCTGTGTGGAGTTTGCATGTTCTCCCCATGTTTTCGTGGGTTTCCTCCAGGTGCTTCGGTTTCCCCCGCAGTCCAAACCCATGCGCTATAGAGAAATTGAATAAGCTAAATTGTAGTCATATGAGTGTGTTCGAATGAGTGTGCATGGATGCTTCCAAGTACTGGGTTGCAGCTGGAAGGGCATCCGCTGTGTAAAACATGTGCTGTATAAGTTGGCGGTTCATTCCACTGTGGCGACCCCTGATGAATAAAGGGACTAAGCTGGAGGAAATTGAATGAATGAATTTATAAAGTATGTCGGCGCAATAGCCTAGTAGTTAGCACACCGACATATGGTGCAATAGTATGTCAGGGCGTCCCGAGTTCAAATCCCGGCTCGAGGACATTTCCCTACCCTAATCTCCTCTCTTTCTCTCTCCAACTTTGCTTCTTGTCTAACTAATGTCTTGTCTAAAAAAAAAGGCCAAAAATAAATCTTTAAATAAACAACAACAAAAAAAAGAATTTATAAAGCATTTAAAAACATAGCAAACACAGTTTTTAGCAGTAGTAATAGTAAAAAAAATAAATAAATCTCTCACTCAATTCAATAGTTGATTTATTGGCTTGACAAATGTATTGCCAAAGCATTTATACAATAAAGTTTACAATAAAGACAAAAGAACATCCATGTCCTTTTAAAACACACTAAATAGTAGTAGTAGTAGTGTAAAAAAAAAAAAAAAAAAAAAAAAAAAAAATATATATATATATATATATATATATATATATATATATGAATAATATGATATATAATTTATATTTAATTATATATATATATATATATATATATATATATATATATATATATATATATATATATATATATATAATTAGATATATAATAATTGAATATAAATATATGTGTATATATATATATATATGTATATATAATTGAATATAAATATAAATTATATATATTATTCAATATATATTATTATTATTCAGTATATCCTATTTTATGTAATGTATCATTACAATTCAATACATCACAATATTTTTCAATATATAATATTGTTATTCAGTATATCATTATTGGATCTATCATATTATTCATACAAATCAATAAAATAGTAATAGATCAGATAAAACTACATTTAACAATCAACATTTTAGGATGAAAGCGCAATAAAACAATAATAGTCTCGCTCGCTCGCTCTCTTAACCTTTCTGTCGGTCCCTTGTGACTGACCTCATTAAATGAGCACTTCAGGTTCAGGTCAGCATCCAGATATCCTCTTACCCTACAGATACGGCTCTCTGACTGAGGAAGAGCCCGTCACGTCTTAATTATAGCATCTTTTTATTATTCATTGTTCATTGACTATACATGTTTGATGGCTACTCATGAATTAAGCTTTAACCGTTTCCGCTCTGGTCACTCCTCACTGTAAAAAATCTTTACATTAGCAGTTTTCTGCATATTTTGTGATTCATTTGTGTTTATTTCTGCTTTTAAATTGCATTATGGGATCTCAATCTTTCCACCAACAACTTTTAACCATAAAAAGTTGGAATAAGTGACTTTCATGAACATTTTTAATAGTGTGCAGGGATATATTGCAGGGCTCAACAATAAGGACTGCCCAATGGCCCGGGGCCAGCATGAAAGATGTTTGGGACAGTAAAGAGAATTGTTACTGGCCCGATCAGGCCAGTGCTGCCTTGTCACAAAATTTTAATTTGCCTGCGACTTTTTGTCAATTGCGTGCAAATACAGTCTTAGAATCAAGAAACAAGTTGTGCTTTTAAGTCTTTGAATGCTACCTTTTCTGTGAAGTTGTAAACACCATATTGCTTTTTGGTTCCTTTTATCTGATTGGATGTTGTGAGCAGGTTAATTTTTTCCACAACCTGGTAAAAACCAGTACAGTGAAGAGACGGCAACTTGACAGAAACATAAAAATTATGAGGCTAAAAGGAAACGTCGGTTTCTAACGTTATGGAAAGAGATATTTACATGGGTACAACACGACGAATAAAATGAAGTGATGTTTTGCATAGTTTTTTAAGTCCGCCACTTTTTGTTTTGCAATAAAATACCTGCACATTTTCCATACTGCCATATTTTACTGCTGAATATTTGAACAGTTTAAACATATTTAAATTCTAGATTCACAGACATTATTTTTGACACATTATTTAAAATATGCTTTTATTTATTTAGTTATTTTGGTGGGGCAAGTAAAAATCTGAACCGCTGGTCCAGTCGGGCCAGTAGAAAATGTTCTTAGCGTTGAACCCTGTATTGTCTGGGTTGGTGTTGTATATTACGCAACAAAAGCCTTGTAATAAACTGCCAGTACATTTTCTGTAATTTTACACACCTATTTCTCTCTTTATTATTTATTATACATTATATCATTATCGCAAACAACTAAAATGTCAATAAAAGTCACTTCGTTACACCTGTCGAGTTGAATGACTTTGAATAAGGCAACTCTTTTTTTATTATTATTATTTTTATTTTATTTTTTTTTGTGGGGCGACAAATATCAACGAATAAGAACGTTTTAAGAACTTCCCAAGTCAGAAGGGGGCCTTGCATTGCCAAATTTTCAGCAGTATTACTGGGCCTGTAATATCCACAAGCGTTTGCATTGGATTAACATTTCAAAAGGTTCCAAGCATCCTATCTGGGTCCATTTAGAACTGTTATCCTCAAAGTTTTCCCTTTATTCAGTGATTTGCTCTCAACTTCCAAATAAAAATAGTAGAATTGTCTCGGACAGTTTAGTTGTGAATTGCATTAAGGGATCTCAATCTTTCTATTAAAATATGGGTTACTTTTAGGAAAAACTTCAGGCTAATAAGTCCATCCACTCTAGCACCTGTAGTAAATAATGCATGCTTTTTAACCATCGTGTTGTGATTCTGTTTTTCGTGACTGGTCTTCTGAAGGCTTCAGTACCATTAGGGCTTGTATGATTAAGGTGTAATTTTCAGATTTGTCTGAAAGGATTCATCTTCCCAAAACTCATCTTTTTTTTCTTCTTTCAGATAGGACATTTTGTACAAATTTTGTCCTCGTTCGTTCTTGTTTTAATTTTTTTTTATAATTATGTTTTAGGGGTTTTTCACCTTTTATTGGGATAGGATAGTGGAGGACAGACAGGAAATTATTATTACCAGAGAGAGGGGAA